GACACAGAAGAAGGAAGAATGCTCACTCAGTTCTTAGCATGTGTAATTAAACAAGCTATTGAGATCATCTTTGAGAGAAGAAGTAATGAAAGAGCGATTCAGCACACAGGGAACTGAGAAGGACGTTTATCAGCAGAAATACACAGAGTTTTTCACCAAAGAGGGCAGTGATGATAGCTCTGCTTTTCCAAAGTGTTGATTGATGCTAAACATGTTGCTGGCTCACTGACATGAGGAGTGATTTGATTTATTGCTTGCTATTGCATTCTATCTGGTGTTGTTCCTATTAAGAACAGCAGGAAATATTTTCTTTGCAACTGCTTGAATACTGGCAGATAGCACAATATATTGTGGGAGGAAGTAAGATGAATGCTGTACTTGCCTCCCCTCCAGTTACAGGAAGGTTGGAAAAACAGAAGCAGATATTTTGCTTGTACAGACTGGCATACAGGCAGGCAGCAATTCAGACTGGGAGAGGGAAATGTCCTTCCCCAGCTGGATGTCAGGCAGTGTCTTCATGTCATCCTAATTTGTGTGTAGTGCAATCAGTTACATGTGAGAAAGACAAAGTCTTGGAGCAAACCTGATGAGACACGAGAGATCAAAGATGGTGATCTGAGATATCTGTAACGTTCATTAAAAGCAACTGTGAGAACACCTGATTTTGGGGTGTGTGTGAACCTTTCTACTCTGTTTCCCAATAAAAATTTTCTCCTAGCTGCTATCATGCACAATTGGGACAAAAGGCAGGAAACCTGTTTCAGTGAATTAAGTGTAAGGCCTAATTAACTGTCTCACAGTTTAATTAAACTAAATTAAATTAGACATGATGGGGGAGATCCTTGTGATATGAGCCTGTGTGTTCAAATGTAAAGAACGTATATTCCATTGAAAAAAATGGAAACAAAAATGATTATAATAAAGAAAATGAACACATAATAACAAATAGCAGAGTTGATATTAATAGTCCACTTTTGCTCTATCCTCTCCTTTGAACTGTTTTTGCCTCACCTCATGTGGTCATTCTTTCCCTCCTCTCATTGTCCATCTGCCTGAATTTTCCTTCCACCCTCCCCATCCCTGCTCCTTCATGCCCTCCCTGCAGCTCCCATGGTGCCTACTTTCCCTGTGTTCTCTCGGTTCCTGGTTTTCTTTTATGTTTTTTTCACCCATCGTTGGACACCATTTTGAGTTGCTTTGGCAATCCAAAACACCACTCAAGGTTCGAATTATATAGCTGATACTGTGGCAGTGTCTATTATAGCCCCTGTGTTATAAAAATCATATTCTCCTGAAAACCTGGGGTTTGCAAATATAGAGATTATACACAATATAGAGCTTAAAAATATACTGTTTTAAGGGTTAGGGATGGCCACGAACCCACTGACGAACTAAGGTCTGTCATGAATTTTGGCCCGCTTGGGGTTCACAAACCACAGTTCATGAACTGAAAAACCTGGATGAACTAACACAAAATTCTGGTGCAATTTATGATGGCTCATGACGGTTTATGAAGAGCAGAAAGAAGATTTTTACCCCTGCTTTCTGCTCTTCAGGAGAAACAGCTGAGTGGTGGGGAGCTCCCCACCACTCAACTGTTTCGGAGCCATTTAAACCCTGCTTTCAGTCTCCCACCAGCTTCCAGCTCCCTGCGGCCAGCAGAAAGTAAGGGGAAGAAGATCTTCTTTCCTGAAATATCTTCCATTTCTCCTTTCTGCTGGTGGTGTCTCCCCAGAGCCAATGGAAAGGAAGGGGGAAGATCTCAGGTCTCCCCTTCCTCCTTTTCACTGGCAGTAGCTGCTTGCAGCCAGCAGAAAGGAAGGGGAGGAAGATCTCCCTTCCTGGGAGATCTTCCCTCCCTCCGTTCTGCTGGCAATGGCTCCCCATGGGAGATCCTGGGAGATCTCCCCCTCTTTCTGCTGGCCAGGGCTCTCCACAGAAAGCAGAAAGGTGGGAGGGAATTCCTTTCTTGGGAGATCCCCCCCCCTTTCTGCTGGTTGCTGTTTTCAGGCTATCTTATCCAGTCCTTCTAAAGTTTAAAGCAACTGCAGAAGAGAGCTTGAAACAGCTGTGAGGCGGGGAGTGCCTCCCCACCATGCAGCTATTTTCCCGACTGTCTTCTGCAGTCTGTTTAAACTTTAAAGGGACTGCACAAGACAGCTTGAAACAGCTTTTTGGTGGGGAGCAAGCAGTTCTCTGTGCTCAGCTGGTTTTTTTACTTTCTGCAGACCCCATTTAAAGGTACTGTGGTCCCTTTCAATAGGGTCTGCAAGGCCACAAAATTTGCAAAGCCTCTCAGCTCACTTCAGTTCGGGGTTCAGTTTGTGGGGTGCCATGGACCCAAACCAAGCTTACATTTCCTGGTCTGTGCACATCCCTAGTAAGGGTTCTTTTAAAATTGCTTGAATCTGATTAAATCTGATATTAGTTGTGAAGCTGTCTCAAAACACAACATAATTGCAAACAATGGGCATATCTGAACTTGCATTTTCATTGTACACAAGAAACCCAGACGAGACCACAGAATAATATTATCGTTATTGGGTCTCCACTTTCTCCTCCTCTATAATGGGGGGAGGGGAGTCTAACTGGCTTATTTACAGTACCACAAAAATTATGTGCTTCTCTTGAGGGTAGCAGTTCTTTTTCATCAAAAGAAAATGACACAACACTTTTACTACTGAAGTGGTCCTGTGTTATGGTAACTGATGTACCGTGTAATTATTTCATACAAAATACCCTAAATATCCCCAAGGGAACATCAAAACCACTTAATGGGGATTAATGTAGATTAACTCTCTTTTGTATATTGTAAGAGAAATTAAAGCATAGCTAAAGGGTGGAACTTTCCCACTATTCAAATGTACATTTTTCTGTGGAATGATATTTAGGGAGGCAGGTGATAATTATTTAAGAGTATAAGAGTGCAATCTATGTAATTTGAAGTGCAGTCCTAAGAATCCTTTCATAGGTGTTGTATGAATGAGTATTAAATATTGGAAGTCATATATATTACTCTCATGAAAGCTCCATTAAATAAAACTGGACTGTTTTCTGAATAGACGTGCTTAGGATTGCTTCCTTGGGATCCTGCTTTCCCCTTTCTAAAAAGAGGAAGTACAGTAGGGTTGCCAAGTGGCACTTACCTCCTCCGCAGGGGACTCCCGGGTGGCTCCCGGTGTGCACGCACGCTGCATGCACATCACTAGGAAGTGACGTTATGACGCCAGGTACGCTGGGGGTGGGGCCACGACCATACAAGGGAAAACCATAGAGTTCCCCCCGGGGCCCGATCCAGCGCCGCCGGGGAACGGGCCTCTGGGGCAGGGGTTCCCCCGCCCCCCGGGGGGACTTGGGATCCCTAAAGTACAGTCTTACTAAAAATACATTTTTGTTTACATGATGCTGGGAATTCAGCATTCACGAATTACCAGAATTGTTGATCTGAGGGTCTACTTAGTTTATTTTCTATTCTCAGTATTATAGTCCATGGATACATGAAAGTCAAAGTACTGTTCAGTTTTGCAGGAACAGTCCATGTTTTCTATCCCTTGCTATACAGCAAGTATAGTAGAGCCTTCAGCATAATGTAACATGGGGGGGAGGAATGTACATCAAAGATCCTTGGTATAAGAATTGGTATTATAAGCATGACTCTATTTTCATCTGCAAAATGTGTTTGAGGACCTAGATAGGTTGTTTTGGCTAGAGGGGACCTGAACAGGGAACCCTATAATACTTCGGATTTCAATAGGATAGATTTTAACGCAGGGTACAATTCTAAGAACATTTTTCTGGAAGTAAACCCACAATAAAAAGGAACTTAGTATTGATTAAGTATTGAGTAAACCTCCTTAGGACTGCTCCCTAATTTTTTCACAAATGGAAGGCACTATGGTCAGCACAACAGAGCTTTTCTTGCCCCTCTCCCCCACAGCAGCTTTCTGTTCCTGCGAACTCCCAGGAACAGCATGAGGGCTAGTCACCAGTGTGCAAAACCCATCCCTTTTCCACTAGAGGAAAATGTAGTTGGGGTCCACCCTATATCCTGTACTCCAACAATGTTCTTGTAATTTGTGCTTCAGCTTAAAGTTAGGGAATATAGTAATGCAAACCACCACCACTATTACCATTAAGCAAGTTCAAATGGGAAACAGCCTACAAAAGAATTTTTGAATATCCGGGTTTCATATCTATTTCATTTTTTACAACACTTTGCCCCACTTGTGTGCCAGTTTGAGGTCACTTATAATACTACCATGAAACACAGAAAACATCAACCATAAAACACAATTAGGTGTTGTATGAATGAGTATTAAATATTGGAAGTCATATATATTACATTGCAAGTTTTCCCTGCTTTTCTGTGTATTAACTTTTTTGCAGTGTGTTTATAAATACATTTAAAAAACCACAGTAAAGATACCAGTCAAATCCTAAATCAGTGCTAATGCAACACCATTTAATCAGCGAAAAGCCAGCTGAAATATAACTGCTTCACCCAGCTAAGATGTATTTGGGGAGGGAGCTTAGGCCAAAAGGATCAGGAACAGCCACTGTGAATGATGACTGAATCTTCATTACTCAGTCTAGCTGAAAACAGCATACCAACAAGACCAGTTGTTCAGTTAGATAAACAAACAAACATGGCTAGACAAGAACCATATATCCGTATATACTTGCTATAAAACAGTAAACAATAAATGAGAAACCATGGGGGTGTGTGGAAATATTATACCCATGGGAGAATTAACTCATAGTTATTGCTATTGTTGAGTTTAACAGGCTTGGCAAAGGTAGTGATTTGAGTCATGGAATTCCGTTCATCTGCCAGTCTGACACAAAGGCTTTGTATAAAGCGCTATAACAAGATGTTATACTGAAACAAATGCAATCTATAGTGGATGAATAAAGTATAAAAATATTAACCTAGACTCTCAGTAGAGTAAAGCATTGTTGAAAAAATTGTCAGACGCTTTTCACTTTTTCTTTTCTTACAGGAAGTTACTAAATCTGTCCAGCCTCTTCTACTGGGAAGAATAATAGCTTCCTATGATCCTTCCAATTCACTTGAACGATCAATAGCTTACTACATAGCTATAGGACTCTGCCTTCTCTTCATAGTTCGGACGTTGCTTCTTCATCCGGCTATATTTGGCCTCCATCACATTGGAATGCAAATTAGGATAGCCATGTTTAGCTTAATTTATAAAAAGGTAGGTTTTTCAAATTAGTGTATGGGAGACCAAAGACTGTTATTGTGGCCTAGCCCATGCAAGATCCAATGCATTATGTTTCTCTTCAGTTATTCTTGTGTTTTTTTGCCCTTTAGGATTTATTTTTGCTTTTTAAGATGTTTCTTTGTAGTTTTATTTATTTATTTATTCAAATTTATACCCTGCCTTCCCCGTCGAAGCAGTCTGTTGTGTTATTATTGTACTCTGCTTTGCAGAGCTTTATTGTACAGATTTTAAAAAAGGATGAACTAAGTCTTCTCACTTTTGCCACTGAATTTGTCCAGTGTTCTGGTAAATCATACACTGCCATGCAGTGTTCCCTCTAAGCTGAGTTAATGTGAGCTAGGTCACAGTTTTTTAGCCTCCAGCTCACACATTTTTGTCTTAGCTCAGGAAAGATGGCTCCAGAGCAAACTAATTTATGCAGTAGCCAAATCGCTTGCTCACAACTTTAATACCAGTAGCTCACAAAGTAGAAATTTTGCTCACAAGACTCCACAGCTTAAAGGAAGCATTGCTGCTATGTACAATTATTTATGTAAAATGACCAAGATTTCTCAGAGAGAACATCAAGTTTATTTGGTGGAATATGCTTATATGATTCTTCCATGAGATTTTTCGGATATCTGTTTTCACAATTTGTTACACTTATGAAGAATTCTTTTGTTTGCTGATATTGTTCTATACAGCAAAAATAGAGTATATATGAATAATATGACATCTTACTTTACATACACAGTGCGATCCTAAGCACAGTTACACCCTTCTAAACCAATCAAAGCATAACAGTGTTCCATGCACCTTGGCGTTTAATCATGCCAGCCACATGACCACGGAAACATCCATGGACAGTGCTGGCTCTTTGGCTTGGAAATGGAGATGAACACCACCCCCTAGCGTTGGATTTGACTAGCTTTTGAGCATGGGAAACCTTTACCTTTAACTCTGCTTAGGATGGAATTGTTAATAGACTATGGTAGTGGATGCACTGAGAGAGTCATTATTTGCAATGAGGCTAATGAATATAACAAAACAGACTGCAACAGAAGTAATAATTTTTTGTGTGTGTACCAAGTATAACATAAGGCAATTAACATTATTATTCAGTTGGCAACTAACACTGTTTACCTGACAATAACTGTCTTAACATTTTAATTCTTCCCTTTGATCACTTTACTTGGATATTTGTTCTCTTTTACAGACCTTAAAATTGTCAAGCAGAGTCCTAGATAAAATAAGCACTGGACAGCTCGTTAGCCTTCTTTCGAACAATCTGAACAAATTTGATGAAGTATGTTGGTACTAATTTAATCACATGTTTATTGCATTTCTTTAAAAAGTGCAGGTATCTACAGAATTCATAATATTCAAAAGTGCTGTGCATCCCCAGAACAATGTTAACTGGCTGCAATTAATAGTTCTGGAATTAAAAATAAATAAATAAAATACAACAATTATTAAAAAGTACAAAAAAAGAGAGATACAGAATACAGATAAAGTACATTGTCAAGCAAAATCACAATCCACCATGTCACGTGAACATTGAGAATCCTATTCCAGCTGCGTGACAGAGTGAGTTCCCATCTCTGGTCCCAGCTTCTGTCAGCCTAGCAGTTTGAAAGCAAGAAATTGCAAGTAGATAGGTGCCGCTTTGGTGGGAAGGTAACAGTGTTCCATGCACCTCGGCATTTAGTCAAGCCGGCCACATGACCATGGAAATGTCTTCAGACAGTGCTGGCTCTTCGGCTTGGAAACGGAGATGAGCACTCCCCCTAGAGTTGGATTTGACTGGCTTTCAAGCAAGGGAAACATTTATGTACATCTCTGTTACTCTAAGTGGATAATTTCACCAAAGTATAAATTACCATTACTTTCAGCAACAAATCTTGTAGATTAGGGGCATTATTTTGATTCCAATACCTGGCACAAACCAGTCTGGCAGCAGTAATCAGATGTAAAGTGGCTATTTGCTGATCTCTGGAAACGTCAGGAAGATAATTCAGCAGTAATGTCTCTGGCTTACAAGGAATTTATATACCCAACCCAACTGATAATAATTTCACCACTTGCTTCCAAAAGTTGGAGGCACGTCTACATGACTAATACATGTGAAAAAAAATCTGCTTTGTCTGTAATTTTGTGTCTGCACTAATGACAACCCCCCAATTCAAAAAACCCCTTGCAGTATTAGGGTATGTTAACAGAAATTCTAATTACATACTGCTTGATCTCTTTCTTTAGCCAGGTTCTAGCTTGTTTATGTATTTGCTTAAAATATTTATATCCCACCACTCCTGCTGCTGTACATGGCTTATAAAACAAAATCTGATAGAAGTACAGGCAATAGCCAGTTCTCAGTATTCTGTGCAGGGTTCTTAATCACACATCCAGAGCCTGTGAATCTGTCCCCTTACCTATGTGTAATAAGTCATACCTTGTTCTCTACATTCCATTGTAGTTTAGAATATCTAAGAATGTGTCTGTGATGGCATTGTTATTGTTACCTTGTTATATTCATGGAAGACCGACAACAGCAGCACCATGTATGACAGAATGGGCTTCCCAAAGGCTAGGGCTGATGCTTTGGGCTGATGCACAGGAGCTGTGAAAGTTGTGTCCATGGGAACAGTCCCATCTGTGCAGCCATCCTCAGAGGTGGGAACCATCCTGAAAATTGCAGTCTGGATTTTCCCACTTGTTATTCCTATTTTCCTACACAGTCCTGCCTCTTCTAGACTTAATCCTTATTATTTATTGCTGTTGTAATTATGCTTTAATCTCCACAGCTAAAATCTAAAAATTTCTTTTTTGGACCCTATGCCGAATAGCAAACAGTTTGCTAATATTGTTTGGTACTCATAACAAACCTGGGGAAAACTTGTTCTGCTGTTTGTAGAAATCCTCCAAGGAGTTATGTTAATGAACACTTCACATGTTTTCATGTAGTTTTCTGAGGACAGCTTCAATATTCAATTGCTGTGATCTTTTTTCAGGGTTTAGCCTTGGCTCATTTTGTGTGGATTGCACCTTTACAAGTAGTGCTGTTGTTGGGGCTCCTCTGGGAAATGTTGGAGGCGTCAGCATTTTGTGGATTTGGCTTTCTCATCCTCGTTGCCCTTTTCCAATCCTGGCTAGGACGAAGGATGATGAAATACAGGTGACAAAGCGGGTATTTCTTTTAAATATTAAGATTTTTGCCATGCTTCTGGATTCTGGGTAAAGAGGGTGAACAACCTGGTTTAAAATGAATTTTCATATTGCCTGGAAATACAAGTTAAACAGACTGCAAGGAGAACTCATTATTCGATTGTGCAACCATACACTGTAGTTCCTTTGGACCATCAAGCCAAAACTAGTTATTACTAGTTTTTTCATTCTTGAACTCTTGGAAAATATTAAATCTTCCTGCAGACTCAGATTTTGGCACCATACTTCTGAATGTAGTTTAGGGAAGTTACCTAGGTTTGAGAATATGCATACCTCCAATTTCTGGATAATCCCATATCTTCATAGTCAGTGAAATTTGCTATCTTTATATATCACCATTCTGCCAATTCACTCAAGGTGTTTGCCACATAAAATAAAGGGATGTAATTGAATAGACTCCAAAGACCTTTTCAGACTTTACAGTAACATGTTCAGGAGCATGCACTGCCATGTTGTGTGAACAGCAGGAACACACATATTTACCCTGCACATACAGCTTCAGTATATGTAAATGGACCAGCGTTTTTTCACAGTTCATGTCACATCACAAGTCAGTATGCATACAGAAAAAATGCCTGTTGTCCTGTTCTCACACATGATATATGTCCCCGCGCAGGGCTCTTTTTGTAGCAGGAACTCCTTTGCATATTAGGCCACACACCCCTAATGTAGCCAATCCTCCAAGATCTTACAGTAACTCCTGTAAGAAGAGCTCTGTAAGCTCTTGGAGGATTGGCTACATTAGGGGTGTGTGGCCTAATATGCAAAGGAGTTCCTGCTACAAAAAGAGCCGGGCTGGGGCCCATAGTGTACAGTTGGTAGGTTCCTGGTACTGTAACATCTGTTACTGTGGCACCTGTAACATCTGAAAATGACGGATAGAAGAGGGACATATTACAGGTGGAATGGCCATTTCAGGAAAGGGAAGAGCTGATTGGTAGTTCATCTCAGCTAGGCTGATGGAGATGGCTTCACTGTCCCACTTTTCCCTCAGATGCAACCAGATTGAATGTCCAATGATGGAAAGAATTCTGGGACAGGAGGAGGCAAATGGCAGTTCTCTCTGAGCCAGTGAACAGTGACTTCTGAGGCATCTAGGTGGAATTAAAAACTGAGAAGCCTCAAATATAAGGTTTTGCAGATGTCTGCTGAATGACAAAAATGTTCAAAAATTGGGGGAAGTGACTGTTCCCATGAAAATTAAACGTTTGCAGATTTGGATTTCCTTGATTTCTAGAATGAAAACATGCCAAGTTTAATCTTCCTACCTTATCTGCAAGCTAATAATTTATGTTTATCATTATATACATGTGTGAAAGCAAATATTTGGCTCGTTAAATTCAGGGTGATTTAATTTTTTTTACCTCTTCCAAGTTTTGACCCTCATTGCCTGCTTATGAATTCTGGGACACAGTGCTATTGAGAAAGCAGAAACTACAACAGGAAGAATTCAAGAGCTAGATATTTCTTTCCTCTCTTAACTTTCTAACCAGCTGTCCTTATTTATCCAATCATCCCTGTCCCTTCTTGCCAATAATGTACAGTTCCTTCTGTTATTAAGTCTAGTGTACAGTTTTTCTCCTTGGTCTTTTCACTCTGGGAGTTTTAATGCTAATTTCAGTTCCAGTGAACTTTATAGCATTTTTTTCTTATGCAGAATCAGGACTCCAAAGTATTTAATTTTCGAAGCAACTGAACTTTATGTGCTGACATATCATTGGTATTAGAGGCTTCATCCTTCCCACAATAGATATGCAATCCAGATTCTATCAGAATGAGGGGTAAAACTGAATATAATACTGTATCATCACTCATGTTTAAGTGCTCTGCCTTGACAGTGTGTCATATCACTTACCTATCACATGCAGCTCAATGTGGGAGTTCCAAATTCCACATTAATGGAAGATGGGTTTCAAAACAGATACTCTTGAGAGTGCACTGCAGAGTAAGCTTCTTCTAGATGTAGTGTTATGCAGGTTAAATATATAACTCCTTCTGAAATCAATGGAATGGAAAATGAATTGTTTTCACTGGATCATACCTTAGGAGTTTTTGAAGATACTATAGTGTCAATGCAGCTTCATTCCATCTCCAGGCTTTCTTGGAGGATGCTAACATCCTGGATCCCTTCCAGTCTGGCTTTCACCCTGCTCATGGGACAGAGACGGTGCTGGTCGCCTTGGTGGATGACCTCCGGAGACATCTGGATTGAGGTGGCTTGGTGCTGCTGATTCTTTTAGATATGTCAGCAGCGTTTGATACAGTCGACCATGATTGTTGACCCACCACCTCGCCGATGTGGGGATATGGAGACTAACATTGCAGTGGCTGGCCTCCTTTCTCCAAGATCAGGGACAGAGGGTGGCACTGGGAGGGGAGTTGTCCCAGCGACATTCACTTAGATATCGGGTGCCACAGGGAGCGATCATCTCCCCGATGTTATTCAACATCCTTGCCCAGATTATTTGGGCTGGGTTGTCACCAGTATGTGGATGACATCCAGCTCCATCTATTGATGGATGGCCACCCAGACTCTGATTCTGAACATCTGGATGGGGCATTACAAATTGTGGCTACAACAGAGCAGACTGAAATTGAATCCAACAAAGACAGAGGTCCTGCACGTGGGCTGTCAGGGTCTGCGATTGGGTATTAGGCTAACAACCTTTGATGGGGTGCTGTTGGTGCCAATGCTGAAGGTGAAGAGCCTAGGAGTGTTCCTGGAGGCCTCATTGGCTATGGAGGCCCAGGTCACTGCCACTGCCAGGTCTGCCTTTTTTTAAATCTGAGGCAGGTTAGACTGTAGACCCCATAACTCACCCCCTGCAATATGGGTGCAGGGTCACTTCCAGATTAGATTATTCTAATTCTCTTTATGTGGGGCTTCCCTTGACTCTGCTCCAGAAATTGCAGCTAGCGCAGAAAGCAGTGGCATGGGTGTTTATGACATTGCCTGTGCGGGCACATATCCGCCCGGTGCTGCATGACCTGAACTGGCTGCCTATTGAATTCTGGATCCGTTTCAAGGTGTTGGTGCTCACCTTTAAAGCCCTAGGTGGGCAGGGGCCCACATATCTTCGAGACACCTCTCCCCGTATGAGCCCCATAGAACATTACGTTCTACCAATCTACATCTCCTGGTAGTCCCTGGCCCAAGGGGTTTCCAATTTGCCTCAACTAGGATGAGGGCTTTTTTGGCCCTGGCCCCCACCTGGTGGAATGAGCTACCATATGAGATCAGAGCCCTGCGGGACCTATTGCAATTCTGCAGGGCCTGCAAAATGGAGCTCTTCTGCCAGGCCTTTCGTTGAGGCAGCGAGCATCCATTTGATTAGGCCCCCCCCTCCGGTGACCGCAGATGTTAATGCAGATGTTTTAATGATATAAGGATGATGATTTTATGGATTTTAAATTGAGTATTGTAATATGCTTTTAATATTGTAAATCTGCATTAACTGCAGATACATATATGTCGTTACCCACCCTGAGCCTACAATGTGGGGAGGGCGGGCTATAAGTCTATTGAAATAAATAAAAATAAATTGTGATGTTAGAGCAATGGGATTTGAAAAGGTTATTGCTAATGTATAAGGTCTTGTTCAAATGCTGGCCTGCAAGTGTTCAGGATCATAGTGCTATTTCCAGTTAGGTTACCCTCTGTATAACCTGCTTGCTGTTTTTTATGCTGTAATTCTTGGGTAGTACAGTGCATAACTGGAATTCTTTGTTTTGCAGAGATCAGAGAGCAGGAAAGATCAATGAGAGACTTGTGATCACATCAGAAATGATTGAGAATATACAGTCTGTCAAAGCCTACTGTTGGGAGAATGCAATGGAAAATATGATTGAAAATCTGCGACAGTGAGCATATACATTTGTTTTTCTTGCAGCTAATCTGTATGCTGTGGCTTTATTTAGGGGTTTCATTAATCAGTTAATCAAGGACCAGTTCTTCATGTTTTAAAGATTCAAGGCAAATAGGATAAGCCTTTCTAAAAGCCAAAACCATATTTATATTAGTCACTTTTCCTACTTTGGCAAAGGGTGTAGAAAAACGTTGTTTCCACTTGCCCTTCACGCATACTTTGTATACAACTCATGGGCTTTCACAACAGGCCAAACACCATCCCCTCATATTGTTTTAGGCCAGGAAAATGGTTTAGAGGTAAGGTTGAAGCCCATTTTTCATGTGTACTGTAGTCATTATCTCAATTGTGTACCATATGCATGAGAACTGAGGAGAACACACAAGTCACATGTGACTGTTACACAGGATAAATAGCAGGGTCCTGGATCCCATCCTGTGTACTCCATAATGTGTGAATGCATCTAAGTAATATCATCCAATAATTGCCACAATATTCTTGAGTACCCTGCCCAATTGAACAGTGGTCAAAAGCTGCCACCACTTGATGGTGGCATCAAGTGACTGTTTCTATAGACTAGCCTTGACACAGCTCCTTCAAGAGCATGAAGAACAACAATTTTCTAATGAGTGTGTCTGTCACCCTCATAGATCAATGTCTCGTTGGCCAGGCAAGGTAATTGGAAAAGTAAAGGTGGAGCATGTAAACAGTAGACTTCTCTTTGCTAAAACTGTAATCCACACCCTCAGGTTATAAACTTGAAAAAAACATTCAATGAAATAGGACAGGCAATGATTCTGAGAACCTCTAGTGGTCTCAACAATGCCATCCTAGCACAGTTACACCCTTCTAAGACTAATACTTCAAAAGGATGTAACTATGCTTAGGATGGCACTGTGATTGTGTCCAGCATGGTGTCTTAAATTGGAGTGGATCTGAAATGCAGTTTTAGCTCAAAGTCTTTCTTCTTTGCCACCATCATCATGACAGAGTAGGCTCTACAATGAGGTCTATTTGCTATGAGTCTTTTGACACTGTTGTCCCTGTTGTTCTAATATAGTGGTCTTCAACCCATGTGTCAGGATCTTCAGGCTTGTTATGGAATCCCACCTTCTGGGTCACAAGCCCCACTAGTGTGACCATTTTTGTTGCTTTTGGAAGGACCTGCTACTAGTACGCATGTGTGTACTAGCAAGCGCACCAAAACTCCTTTTTTATGTACACTAAGAGGAACAGTAGGTCTGTGAGATACTGTCACTCAGCACTGAAGATGTTCCGTGCAATAGTAGACCTCCTGGTGCTTGGTATGTTTCTTGTTCCCAGCTCTCAGTCTGCTGGTCATATTCTTGGCCTTGATACCAGTGAGGTCATAACTGTGACTCCCCCCTTCCTGTCATGTGACTCTAATGTCATGTGCTCTCAGCTCAATTGGTCTCAGATCTGGAAAAGACAGAGACCACTGCTCTAACCATCATGCTAACCATTTCATCACTCACTGTTCTTCAGAAAACCAGTAAATGGAATGTTCTCAATTTGGTGTAGTGGTTAAGTGTGTGGACTCTAATCTGGGGGAACTGGGTTTGATTCCCCATTCCTCCACCTACAGCTGCTGGATGACCTTGGGCAAACCATAGTTCTGTCAGAGCTGTTCTCTCAAGGACAGTTCTGGAAAGAGCTCTCTCAGTCCCACCTACCTCACAGGGTGTCTGTTGTGGGGAGGGGAAGGGACAGGCCCATAGCCCATAGCTCCTCCTCCTCCTCCTCCTCCTCCCTTCCTTCCATGAGGGAATTGGCAGTAATTACTATATTGATAGGATTTCACCCCAAACCTCTGGATGACCTCTTTTAATGGCTTTTGGTAGCTCTCAGATTAAATAATAAATCCCTGTAGTACCCTATAGCACCACCCTCTGGAGTCTATTCTCTAGGTAAAAGCAAAGCCAGAATAAAGCCTATATAATGTTAAAGGTGTTTTACGATTTATTTCCTCATATACTTAACGGTTACTTATGTTTTTATTAATAAGTATTATCTTGTTTAGTATACAGAATTGATTATAATACTGGGTGTGTAACTTTACTTTTAAGAAACGTAGCTTGTGGGCTTTGTGCTCAGCTAGTGTATAAGTGATAAACAGAAGTAGTAAATAGTCCACTCTGACACCATTCAAGGTAGAATTTAGTTAGGATTCCATATGTGTCACAAAGAAACATACTATCTATATTTATGGTTCATGTTTTACAAGTCTTTTTTAAAAATAGAATTTTTATTGAGTTTTATATATTTTTACAACCCATATTACTTGTTAGTTATATACAGTATCTTTCAACAACATCTAATAAACAAGAAGAGAAATGTTAAGCATACGCACAAAACTTATTAGTAAAACACAAAGTCTCTATAAGTAGTGCATATAATCGGGGTTGACAAGCAGTAATATATTCAAAAAACACAAACCTTTTTTCAAAAAAATTATTAACACCTTTCGGATTGTCAAAAGCTATTAATTGCACAGCAATTTTATCTAGTCTTTTTAAGTAGCCTGAAGAGCTAAATTTATGTGAGAATTTCTGGAATATACACATTTAAAGTAAATAAAATGTTGGATTTAACCCATAAAAAATTAAATATTGTCTAAGTTCATAAGGGATTTTATGGCATCTTCCAGAGAAGATGGCCGATGGCAATGTGTTAAATCTGGCTAACATAAATGCCCATCTTTTATTTATTTATTTATGCGATTTCTACCCTGCTCTCCCCGCACGGGTCAGTTAAAGAGCAGAAATAAATAGCTGTTTTGCCCAGTGTCTGGTGTAATGCCAGATGAACTGGAGAACAAGTTTTTCTAGCTGCCTCAGTCAGGCACTGAAATTGAATATCTAAAAGCCTGCGTTTGATTGTATAAAATATTGTGGAAGCAGATGATAAATAAAGCGGATCTAAAGGTATTCCTAAGGACCTAATTTTTTTGGGACTAATTTCAGCCAATTAGATTCACAATGATCTGTCAGCATTAAAAAGGTAAAACAATTCAGGTCAGGATTAAACAGAAGGCAAAACCAAAATTTGATGGTCAAAAGCCAGGCCCGAGTTTCCAGGGACATCTGACCAGTTTCGAGACACATCGCAGCATATGGGACACAATTAGGAAGTCTGAGAAAAACTGAGTGACCTTTTCCTACTCTTGCGTTAAAGTCCCCAGCCAAAATAGTTTCAGCTGAGGGAAATTTCCTTTCTAATGTTTCCATAAGGGTGGATAACCTTTCCCAATGTTGTAAAAGGGCATAGCTATCTAAGGAGGAGGGCACATATAAATTCATGATAATCAAAATAGAACTTTCAAAAACAAGTTTAACAGCTAGTTCTGTAGGATTATCACATGGTAGCATTGTAATATCACATTTTAGGGACAAGGAAACAAAGATAGATAACCCAACTTGGAGATGGCCTTTGGATTTCACTCTGTAAACTGAAAGAGAGAAGGAGTAAAACCCTTCTAAGTGAGTCATATCATAAGACCACGTTTCCTGGAGGAGTACAATATCAAAGCCTTTTATATAACAAAGAAAGCTGACATCATTGGCTTTGCTCCTCCATCCTGCAATGTTTCAAGAAATAATTTTTATTGCAGTAGGAGGAGGAGCAGTTGTGTGTCAGTTTGCTGGAGAGAGTCGATCCAGAGAATTGTTCATATTGTGGAATACACAGCCATTAACTGGGCCAGTATGGGAGTCAGAAGTTGTTTGCCATGGATTATGTTGAGTTATTTTAATCCCCTCAGTTAAGAAGGAATCATTTGTCTCCAGGATGGAAGAATGTATCCCAACTTGAGTTGAGGGATGTAGGTTGCTTTCAAGACTTTGTTGAGGATTCTTAGTGCTGTTCTCTGGAAGCAGCAATGAGGTAAACACATGGCTGGTGGTGTTTGGAATGTTCCCTCACAAGCTGGCAGTCATTGTTTCCAGTCTGTCAACTATTGCTGCTTTCTCAGAAACAGGAAGATTGCTGAAAAGGTTTTGTACTTCTTGGTCAAGAACGTCTTGGTCAAGTAGGTCAGTATCCATGTATTGAGCCTTGGGGGATGGTGGCGACTTCTGAGAGGCAGCATTGGAGTGAGCTGGTGGCGACTTCTGAGAGGCAGCATTGGAGTGAGCTGGAGTATTACCTTTTGTGCCTTTGGAAATAAGTGGCTCAATGATTGCGTTGTGAAAAACTTGCATAGGAAAGATCCCTTTTGACTTTAAATATACTTTTTGCTTAAGAATTAAATTAGAGTTTTGAGCTGTTGAATGATAGGAGGACTCTTTGAGTTGAAACCAGATTGTTCAAAGGTTCCACTGATCTTATATCCACGGATCCTATTTGGGGTCCAAACAAATCATACAGATGTCTTCTAACCAGGGTAGATGTCTTCCAGGACAGAAAAACTCCTTTCAATTTACATAGTCAAACATATTAGATAAAGTTGCCAAATCAGCTGCCATGATGCTCAGGTTGTTGATTACAGGATTCAGCTAACCTTGAGTCGGCAATGGCTTCATAGGGATCAAGGTCAGGATTAGGATGATTCAAATCCAATGGCTGCAAGGGAAAGAACTTAACGGTTGGAGATGCTTTGCTTCTATCACCCTTGTCACCAACTAACCTTGATAGTGACTCAGCAATGTTCAGTATGTTAGAGTGTAGAGAACTGAGCCTTTTGCAGATAAGACTCATTGATTCAGCCACCAGAATGAGCAAGTCTGCAGACGTTTCTATGGCCAAATTAGCTGTCTCGAGGTGAGTTGTAGTGTCAGGGTCTTCAGCTGTGTCAAAATTAATTACGCCACTATCATGTGCTTCAAGTGGTGCAGCAGAGTAAACACTTTCAAAGACGTTATTAATGTCTTCACTTTGTGGAGAAAAGTGGTTGGAGGTAGGTATTTGAAAAACATCTTCTGGTTCTGAGGCAGTTAATGGAAAAAAGTCCTCTATCTTTGTTTGGAACAAATTCCT